ACAAAAATCATAAAAACGCAGTCCATTCACAAGTAATAAATATAATTAAATACAATCTATTGAATTAATAATCAAAACAATCACTGGTAGATTTCCCAACATATGTCTCCTTTTACACTACTCGAAAGAACTAAAGTTTAACCCCCAAGCACAACTAGGGGAGTACAAACCCACACACAGATCCCCTCTGCCCCCAGTCACCCCCCAGACATCCCCCAGATCCCCCCAGACCCCCAGAGAAAGGGAGAACTCTGGTACAAGAGTTTCCATGAAGAATCTCAAGGTTTGGTACACCAATGCTGATGGGGTATCTAATAAAGCAGAAGAGATAAAAGAAAGAGTGAGTGAAGCAGATCCTGACATAGTTGCAATTGTGGAAACTAAAATTAATGACATAATCTCAGATGCAATCTTTCCTGAAGGGTACCAGGTGATACGAAAAGAGAGGACACAGAGACAGGGAGGGGGAGTAGCACTCCTAATAAAGCGGAAATGGAAGTTTGAAGACCTGGGAAATCGAGTTACCAATGAGTGCACAAGCTTCATACATGGAACTCTGACAGTAGATGGGAGGAAGATTGTGATCATGGTAATCTACAATCCCCCACCAAACAGTAGAAGACCCAGGCAGGAGTATGATGACAACAACAAAGCATGTATAGATGAACTGCAGAAGGCAGCAACACTAGCCCACAGAATGAGAGCGAAGCTGCTGATCATGGGGGACCTAAATCATGGAGAGATAAATTGGGAATCAAGGAATCCCCATGGAGGGGATGAAACGTGGGGAGCAAAATTAGTAGATGTTATAGACAGGAATTTCCTGACACAACATGTGAAGGAAGACACAAGGGAAAGAGGAGGAGATGCACCGAGCCTATTAGACCTGATTTTCACCCAGAACGTAGAAGATATCGAGAATTTAGAGCATGAAATACCTCTAGGGGCCAGTGACCATTGTGTCCTAGTCTTTGACTACATGATGGAATTCAAAATTATGACCATGGGACAAGAGATCTGGGAAAGGAGAGCTGACTACAGGAAAGGGGACTATATGAGGATAAGGGACTATCTGGGTGAAGTGCAGTGGGAGGAAGAAATTAGAGGAAAAACAGTCCAAGATATGATGGACCTAGTCATACAGAAATGCCAGGAGGCCGAAGAGAGATTTATACCAACGGTAAAGGGAAAAAATAAGAAGGAATATAATAACCCATGGTTTAATAGACAGTGTCAGGAAGCAAAAATGGCCAGCAGGCGGGAGTGGAGGAAGTACAGAAGACAAAGAACAGAGGACAACAGAAGCAGATACAACAGAGCTAGGAACGATTACATTAACATAAGACGAACATCGGAAAGGGACTATGAGAACGATATTGCAATCAAAGCGAAAAAACAACCTAAGTTACTACACAGTCATATAAGAAGAAAAATGTCGGTGAACGACCAAGTGACAAGACTAAGGAAGACAGAGGGGGCATATACTGAAACTGACAAGGAAATCTGCGAGGCACTGAATGCCAGTTTCCATGGAGTGTTCACTACTGAGCCTGAGCAGCTCCCATTGTTGGAAGGGGTTACCCTAGATGAAAGACTATCAGATATAGAGGTGACAGCAGAGGAGGTAATGAAACAGTTGACAACTCTAGATGCAACTAAAGCAGTTGGACCAGACAAAGTATCACCGTGGATACTAAAAGAAGCAGCACAGGCCCTCAGCGTGCCTCTGGCAATGATCTTTAATGAGTCACTTATGTCAGGAGAATTGCCCAGTTGCTGGAAGAAGGCAAATGTCGTGCCGATCTTCAAGAAAGGAGATAGGGAGGAGGCACTTAACTACAGACCTGTATCACTGACAAGCATCCCCTGTAAAATACTGGAAAGAATAATTAGGCTACGACTGGTTGCACACCTGGAGAACATTAGGTTTGTGAACAAACATCAACATGGGTTCTGGACAGGGAAATCGTGCCTAACAAACCTTCTGGAATTCTATGATAAAATAACGAGGATAAGACAGGACAGAGATGGTTGGGCAGACTGCATATTTCTGGACTGCCAAAAAGCCTTTGATACAGTACCGCACATGAGACTGCTGTTCAAGCTCGAGAGGCAGGCGGGGGTGGGGGGAAAGGTCCTAGAATGGATAAGGAACTACCTAACAGGAAGGAGCCAAAGAGTTACGGTAAGGGGCGAGAAGTCGGACTGGCGAACAGTAACAAGTGGAGTACCACAAGGATCGGTGCTGGGACCAATTCTATTTCTTGTATATGTTAACGACATGTTTACAGGCGTAGAGTCCTACATGTCGATGTTTGCGGATGATGCAAAGTTGATGAGAAGAGTTGTGACAGATGAGGATTGCAGGATCCTCCAAGAGGACCTGAACAGATTGCAGAGATGGTCAGAGAAATGGCTACTAGAATTCAACACGAGCAAATGTAAAGTTATGGAAATGGGACTAGGAGATAGGAGACCAAAGGGACAGTACACAATGAAGGGGAACAGCCTACCTGTAACGACGCGTGAAAGAGACCTGGGGGTGGACGTAACACCTAATCTATCTCCTGAGGCACATATTAATAGGATAACGACAGCAGCGTACTCTACACTGGCAAAAGTTAGAACATCATTCAGAAACCTAAGTAAGGAGGCATTTAGGGCGCTTTACACTGCCTACGTAAGGCCAGTCTTAGAGTATGCCGCCTCATCATGGAGTCCCCATCTGAAGAAGCATATAATGAAACTGGAAAAGGTTCAGAGGTTTGCAACGAGACTCGTCCCAGAGCTACGAGGGATGGGGTATGAAGAGCGCCTGAGGGAACTGTGCCTTACGACACTAGAAAGAAGAAGGGAGAGGGGGGACATGATAGGAACGTATAAGATACTCAGAGGAATTGACAGAGTGGACATAGACGAAATGTTCACACGGAATAGTAACAGAACGAGAGGACATGGATGGAAGCTTGAAACTCAGATGAGTCACAGAGATGTAAGGAAGTTTTCTTTTAGCGTGAGAGTAGTGGGGAAATGGAATGCACTTCAGGAACAGGTTGTGGAAGCAAATACTATTCATAATTTTAAAACCAGGTATGATAGGGAAATGGGACAGGAGTCATTGCTGTAAACAACCGATGCTCGAAAGGCGGGATCCAAGAGTCAATGCTCGATCCTGCAAGCACATATAGGTGAGTACATATAGGTGAGTACACATTCCTAGGATGCAGTCTATTGCAGCTGTCTAACTTAAAGGGACCTACTTACTGCTTAGTGAACTAGTGCATCAGGTGATGGAAAGTTTAGCCATATCTTCCTGTGTGTGTATGTGCTTGTTTGTATGTATATGTATATTACATGAATATGTGTTTATGTGTGTGTTCTAATGTGTGTTTAGAGTTGTATTCAAACAAAATTTGACTGACATGTAATGTAAACATTACAAAAAATTAAGTAAAAGTCTTTGAAAAAGCTCTCATTGTTTGTGGTTTCCTGATTATAACTGTGATTTTGGTGACAGGTATTTAGTCATTATTTTGAACTGCTTGTGATCCATGCGGGACAGGTCGAGCAGACCTTCTTCCAGGGTGCAGAAGTCAAATGTGGTGTGGACCTTGTAACCTAGACGAAGAAGCATTTTCTCCACGCGTGGGTTGGTCATTATTAAAGAAGTCATTTTGAATCCCTGCTTGGTGGCAATGATGACACTCTTCTGAAAGTCGAAGAAACAACGATAAAACTTAATTATATATTATTTAATTTGTTTAACCTAAAGGTATATTATCAGGCGATTTATTACTCTTGTTTGCGAGCTAAGAAAACGTCATTTACATTTTTATCTTATGGTTTACCTCAATTTGTTTTCCCTGGATCATAATTAAAAAATAGCTTTTCGACCGTGTACCCAACTGCGCCTGGGTGAACGGTGAGACAGTTAAGTATCCCTGCCATGTCTTTTCTATTTGCCAGAGATAAAATTTAGGCCATATTCTCTCTTACGGAGTTTGTGGGCTGAGGGCGCTGTTCTCTACACCACACTGTGAGTCAGTACTCGTACTAGTAAACCTTAGCTATTTACATACCATTAACTCTTCTACCACTAACACCGTCTCAACTGGTTCATCGCTCACATCAACTTATTTACTTCTATCATTATCTCATCTGGAACACCTCTCACATCAAGTCTTACAATTAACACCATCTTAGCTGGTTTATGACTAAAATCAACTCTCCTACTAATGACATCATCTAAGGTAATTTACTTACCACATTATCTCCTTTACCATTAACATCAAAATAGGTTAGGTGCTAGTAGGGCCTAAGGAGGATGGTAAACTAGTGGTATACTCCACTTACATTTTCACGAGAACTATTAATATACTCGTGACAAGGTATTCTAGAGAACGTAAGAACAGCTAGGACTAAACCTGAAAAGTAATAGATTATCGCATCAAACTAACACAGGCCGAGATCAATGATGCATTGTATGCTGCTCATACTCTACAACAATACTGTTGCCCGTTTTGTTTTCAAAATCTCTATAATGGAGTATACCGCTCTTTAAAATTACATTTTATCCAAACTGATGAGCCATCTATTCAGCACACAAGCACTTTATTTATCCCAAACAAAGTCTCACAGAACATTTTATATATTGCCACAGATTTATTAGTCAACGTTGCGTCCTTGGGGAAGTTAAAAGGTTAATCTTCAAAGAAGCTTAACTCTACAATCAAGTTGGCTCATACCTAATTAAATCCACCACGCTAATGCCTTGATTAGACCTTTAGTTTTGGAATTGTACGATTTTGGTGCCAGTTGGCGATAATCCAGGTGTTGACACTGACTATACCACATACAATATTCTAGTTGCATTTCCCCCTAATACTCATAATAAAAATCTAGGCGCTATGCTCCTCGCATTCCTGGAATATGTCCATTATAAATGGGGGACACCTTTTTATGCCAACTCAATAAATTTGTCTGCACAACGAATCAAGGGTCTCGATTATAATTAAATTAATATCATGTCTCAACTGTTTATTAAGAGATCTCTGTGTCTCCAATGTTAGTGGCATGTTCTTGAGTTTGACTTAATTAGTTCTTATTAGAAATTAGAATAATAAAATATGACAGAACTTGAAGAAATAGATCGTCCAGTTAGAAAGAAATTCTAACATTTTTAGTAAACTATATGTGTGAGGGGATGGTTCACCAGCTCACTTACAATAGTGCTCTTATGCCTGTGGAGGCCAGTACACTCGTTAAGTGCACTTGTTCAGTGCGCGAACTGGAGTTTGGTAACCAGCAACCGAAACATCTAGTGTTTGGGCTCATGTGAGACCCCCAGTCATCAGCATTCCAGAAATGTTACCCTGGCCGGGGTAGCACGACTGTGGACCGAGATAGAGCTGATAGCATCATTCTATTGTATGGCTTGGAGCTAGGGACTCAAGATTTGTGCGGGAATCTTGGGAGGCCTGGGACAGGGTGGCGCGAGCTGTGGGCCTACCGCGCCAGCCACTTGACTCGTCGTCATGGCAACAGCCACCATCTTAGTAAACATCTAGAGCCGCCATGTTAGTCGGTCATCTTGAAGTTACCCTAGAGGCCATGCTACACCGTCGCTGATTGGTTAAGAGGGGTAGGCCGCTGAGTGCCTCCCTCTCATTGGTTATTTCGAGGAGGACGCGGGAATCGTCAGTGTCCTTCCCTCGAGACGTTATTCTGAACTCAGGCGCCACTGTGTCCTCACGCTCCCTGTACTCATTCGGCCAAATTGAGTATAGGGCATTATTATTCTCTGCTTAAGTCTACCACCCGCCACCTAGTGCGCCGCCACTTATACCATCTACCGCCACCTACCACCGCTGTGAGCCAGCCAACCACCGCAGGGTGGTAGCCGCCGTCCCCTCTGAGCGCTGGCAGGTGACTGAGGGAGCGCAGCTCCTGGCGGCGGAGGACCCTCCCAGAGTGAGTGAGGACCGCCGGGCAAGGCGGAGCATGGAACAGCCCAAATCGGGGGAGTCCACTCTCACAATATGTAGAGAGCAGATAGATGTTGGAGGCAAACATATTGTGTGGTTATTTTTGTTTATGTGTTTAAGGGGAAACATTTTTATTGGAGTGTCAATGGGTAGCAGGTTTGTCTTTGGGGAAGAAGTTGCTGAGAACTTCGAAGCCAGCACAGAGGGAGTAGTAGATGAGACTCCAAGATAGTGGAGGAGAGGACCTCGAGCTGTGAGGAGAAGCAGTGAAGAGGAGTGTCAAGTGCTTCTGTAGAAGTGGTGAAGCACAATAGTTGCTCGAGGAAACTTCATGGTGTAGCATGAAGTTATATATATTGTTATATTATAGTTATATATATATTGACTTCTTGATGTGTAGTGCCTCGCAGACGTCCAGCCGTCTGCGAGGCACTACACATCAAGAAGTCAACACCAGCAATCAACAGCCAATTAATGCACAACTATATTCTACCCACTTCAAGACTCCGCTCCAATATAGAAGCATCAAGAAATATGGACCAATAGACTTTCGACAATTACTTCCATTCAATACCCATTGTTTCGTGTTCTGTCTTGTGTTGGAATTTAATACCCATTGTTGAAAGTTCGTTTTTCACCTCATCCACCTCACCCAAATGTAGATATAAACCTCGAAGATGTGTAAAGCTCTATTCAGTTTCAGTTGTGCGTTTTCTGCTCGGGCGGGATATCCCGAGGTGGGTTTGGTACTGTGTGACATGCTGCGGGTCCCTGTGGGGGATGTTTATGGTGTTGAGCTGGTGTCTGCCCGTAGAGTGGCTGTTAAGCTAACGACAGAGGAGGTATATAGGGCGTTTTTACGTCAGTACGAGTGGCGGACTTTGCCCCTGCCCGAAGGTGCGGGCACTGTGACTGTCTCCGATCGCAGTGGTGCCATCACGTATGTAAGCGTGCATGGGGCGCCCCTGGAATTTCCGGAGGGACTGCTGAGGCGTTATTTCGGTCAGTTTGGGGCGGTCGTCAGTGTGCGGTTGCACCTGCTTTCCTCGGGTCCGCAAAAGGGTGTGCGGTCAAATATTCGCACCCTAGGAATGAGGCTGCGGGCGGACATTCCTTCTCAAGTGAGGCTTCTGGGGTGTTCTATTCGAGTGTTTTATGCTCGCCAGCCCCGTATGTGTTACCGGTGTGGCCTCTTGGGACATCAGGCTGCTATGGTGCTCTGAACCTGCCGTCGCGCCCGTCAACCTCTTCTGTGAGGAAGATTTCCCGCCGCTCCCTGTGGAGGAGGACTCGTTGGGTGTGGACGCCGCTTTGGCTGCTGCCGTATCCTGTGTGTCGCCTGAAGTGTCTCCTGCAGATGTCGCCCCTCCTCCAGAGGCTGTGTCGCCTGTTGCGGTTGCCTCTTCTCAGGCGGTTGTGTTGCCGTCGGGTGTTCGTCCTGCCCCGGTTGCTGTCCCTGGATGCTTCCGTGGTTCTTCCGGCTCCTGTATGCACGGCTCCCCCGTCTTCCTGTTCTCCGTCTGTGGTGCCTGTCACTGCACCGTCGCCGTGTGCCCAGGATGTGCTGGGTGCTGGGGTCGCTGTGGGACCTCCTACTGTGCTCGACCTGGTTCCCTGTGTGGTTGAGGATGCTGCCGTCCTGCGGAGGGCGTCGGTTCGCCCGGCTTGTGTTGTCTGGGTCTCTGGGTCGACATCCGGCTCTGATGATGTGAGGCCGGTGCCCAACCCAGGAAACAATTTTAGGTTGCCACAACGTATCTGGAAAGTGTTGGAAAGTAGGGGCAACGTTTGTTTTTACGCATTAAATGCGTAATTTTGTGTGGATGTAAATAAGTTTCTGAAACGTATCGCACGAAACGTTGGCTAAAAAAAAAATGAAACCTTGTGGCAACCTTAAATGTTTCATATACGTAGTTTTTTATTGCTGTTATTTATATAAATGTAGAAATATAAAAGTATATTTCAACATTTAGTAAAAAGAAAAGATCATAAAGGTTAATTCATCATTTTTATTCATTTTTTTAAGAAGAGCTCGAGGAGGAAGGAGGCGGAGATCGAGGAGGAAGGAGGAGGAGGGCGAGGAGGAAGGAGGAGGAGGGCGAAGAGGGAGGAAGAGGAGGAAGGAGAAGGAAGAAGGAGAGCCAGGAGGAAGGAGGAGGAGGAGGGCGAAGAGGGAGGAAGAGGAGGAAGGAGGAGTAGGGCGAGGAGGGCGAGGAGGGCGAGGAGGAAGGAGGGGGAGGGTGAGGAGGAAGGAGAAGGGCAAGGAGGAAGACGAGAAGGACGAGGAGGAGAGCGAGGAGGAAGGAGGAGGAGAGCGAGGAAGAGTAGGGCGAGGAGGGAGAGGGAGGAGGCGGAAGAGGTGTAAGGAGGAGAGCGAGAAGGAAGGAGGACGAGAAGGAATGATGGGGAGGAGGAGGGAGTAGGAGGTCGAGGAAGGAGGAGAGCGAGGAGCAGGAGGGCGACGAGGAAGGAGGAGGAAAGCAAGGAGAAAGGAGGAGGAGGAAGGAGGAGGAGGAGGAGGAGGAAGGAGGAGTAGGACAGCGAAGAGGAAGGAGGAGGAGGCGAGCGAGGAGGAAGGAGGAAAGAGGAGGAGGGCGAGAAGGAAGGAATAATATTTCGAGGAGGAGAGAGAGGAAGAAGGAGGTGGAGGAACAAGGAGGGCACGGAGGAAGGAGGAGGAGAGCGAGGAAGAAGGAGGTGAAGGAAGAAGGAGGGCAAGGAGGAA